CGTCATCCTGATTTCAAAAATACCCAAATTGAAGGATATTTGGCATTATTGCACAGTTTTTCTATAAAGGGAAGCCGCCATCTTGGATTTCAAAATGGCGTGAGACATTGATTTCCGGTATATATACGTCATCCTGACTCCAAAAATACGCATAGTGAAGGATATTTGACATTATTTCCCAGTTTTTCTATAAAGGGAAGCCGCCATCTTGGATTTCAAAATGGCGTGAGACATTGATTTTCGGTATTTATACGTCACCCCGATTCCAGAAATACCCATATCGAAGGGTATTTGACAGGATTTTTCAGTTTATCTGCAACAGGATGCCGCCTTCTGGATTTCAAGAAGGTATCGGTTATCGATTTCCAGACTATAGGCGTCACGCGGACTCCAAAAATACCCATATCAAAGGGTATTTGTCAGACTTCAAAATGAGTTCTAGTTCCTTCGCTACCAATATTGTCTATCAAAATATTTGGCAATCTAATTAATAACTGTCGCTTGGTACAAATATTTTACTCACCTTTTTGGGAGCACTGCTATTTAATTCTTGCCAATGTTCCGAACCAAGAACGGTATACCCGGTTTTGGTAACATATAATTGAACCATGCACACGGTTTATATCTCGTGTACCAAAACCAAAATTCTAGCACACCGGTTTTCGGTTTTCAAGCTGCGGTTCTGAACATCAACTCGAAAACCGGCACACGGTTTTGATTTAGAACACACTGGTACACTAAAACTCAACCGAACCAGGGTACACGCTTACATAAACACAGGAGTATTTTTTTAACACGAACCAGCACACGGTGCGCACCGGTTGGTTCAGTTGCCCATCACTGATTGAAGGTACAAGAAAATGCAATAAAATGGTAAAGAAACCAGACCACCCCCCACGTGACCCTTAACCGAAATAGTTGCATTGAAACTTGTCACTTTTCAGAATTTAAAATGGAGATTTTGTGAAACCACGGGATAGCTATCGAATAGGCGTGAAAAGAGGCATACAAATAGATAACCAAGCAACCAGGGTTATTTCTAGTGACTAACAAAATGACTCGGGTTCAAAACGTAGAATAACACACAGCCAATACGTCAAAATAACAAGTGTTTTTAAGCATCACTTAGTGGCCGGAATTAGTGGAGTCCAGCAAATTACCATTTTTAAGCATTTGTACAGTGAAATTTACAGGGAAATTCTAATGACGGAAACACTGCGCGCAGTTTCTTTTCTAAATGGGAATTATCAGTAGCGATAACCGGCATTAATCCAGATGTAATATATCGATGCAAAACAATATTGGAGGCGATGGCATCAGGTAATAAATCCTATGAATACTTGGATACATCTGTATTCAACTAATAACTCTTATACTATCATCAGACTACGAAATTAACTGCGAGAGGTTCGAAAGCTACGGAATAGAAACGGCTCGTAAACTATTCGATCTATATCCATGTCACTATCTTCCCGTGGCTGTTCATAATGTGCTCATACACGGGGCGTAAGTGATTTCTTCTTTTCTAATACTCATTGCATTGGGCAACTATCTGAAGAGGCCCAGGAAAGCAGAAACAAAGATACCAAGAAATACAGAACCCACAAGAACACAAGAAAGTTTACCAGAGAAGCCACGAATACAGATCTTCTTCACCGTCTTCTGAAATCCTCCGATCCGTTTTTTTTTTTTCAATTTCCAACATGAGGCAACTACCGAAAAACAAAAGTGAGGTGTGCTCCGGGGATGCTCTGCAACTTTTGGCCAACCCTTGGACAACTGACAACTTCCAGAATTAGCTACATGGGTCTGCCCCAAGGCTCATGTCTCAGCCCTCTTCTTTATAACTTTTATGTCAAAGATATCGACAACTGTTTGGCAGAACAATGCACGCTAAGACAACTTGCAGATGACGGTGTGGTTTCCGTAAGAGGTCCACATGCCGTGGACTTGCAAGGACCATTGCAAAATTCCTTAGATAACTTGTCTTCTTGGGCTATGAATCTAGGGATCGAATTCTCGCCGCAGAAAACTGAACTGGTAGTGTTTACTCGAAAGCGGTACCCAGCCCAAATGCAGCTTAATCTTTTGGGCAGAAACATTACCCAATCATTGTCTTTCAAGTACCTTGGGGTCTGGTTTGATTCAAAGTGCACTTGGAATACCCATATTACGTATTTGAAGCAAAAATGTCAGCAGAGGATCAACTTTCTCCGTTCAATTTGCGGCACATGGTGGGGTGCTCATCCGGGAGACCTCATAACGCTTTATAAAACAACTATTCTCTCTGTTCTAGAGTACGGCTCTTTCTGCTTTCTCTCGGCAAGAAAAAGTCACCTAATAAAATTGGAACGTATTCAATATCGTTGTCTGCGTATTGCCCTTGGCTGTATGCACTCAACGCATAACATGAGTCTCGAGGTTCTGGCAGGAGTAACACCCCTCCAGAACCGTTTCTGGGAGCTCTCTCTCAGAATACTAATCAAATGCGGAGTGACGAACACACTTATAATTGCAAATTTTGAAGAAATTCTTGGGCTGAACACACAATCTCGATTTATGAGAATCTACCACCACTACATATCGTCGGATATGTGTCTTCCTTGTTATACTCCAGACCGTGTTCACTTCACCAATCGCAGTTCCTCAATTGAATATGATCTGACCATGAAACAAGCAACTCATGGGATTCCCGATCAACTTCGACCTATTATTATCCCACGTATTTTTACTGAAAAGTACCAACAAGTCAATTGCATGAAAAGATATTTTACAGACGGGTCCCGTCTCAATGGATCCACTGGCTTCGGTGTCTTCAATGAAAACTCTAGCGTCTTCCGCAAACTTCAGGAACCTTGTTCCGTTTTTGTTGCTGAGCTGGCAGCAATCAACTTCGCATTGGGGATGATTTCCAATATGCCCACAGACCATTACTTCATCTTCACGGATAGTCTCAGTTCGATTGAGGCTATTCGGTCGATGAAACAAGGTAGGCACTCATCTTATTTCCTTTCAAAGGTAAGGGAGCAGATGAGTGTACTGGTCGAAAGATCATATATGATTACCTTTGTATGGGTCCCCTCACATTGCTCAATCCCAGGCAATGAGAAGGCGGACTCTCTCGCAAAGGTGGGCGCGCAGGAAGGCGAATTATATGACAGGCAAATTTCACACGATGAATTTTACCATTTAGTGCGTCAGAGTACCCTTTCGAGTTGGCAAACCGATTGGGACACTGGAAATCTTGGACGGTGGTTACATTCAATTATTCCTAATGTTTCTTCGAGAGCGTGGTTTAAAGGCTTGGGCTTAAGTCGTGACTTCATTCGGGTGATGAGTAGACTTATGTCCAACCACTACTCGCTAGATGCTCATCTCAATAGAATAAACCTCGTGGACAGCAACATCTGTCAGTGTGGAAACGGTTACGATGACATCGAACACGCAGTTTGGCAATGTACGGATAATGACGCCGCCAGAGAGCGACTTTTGAATACCCTCGAGGCCCAAGGAAGACAACCCTATGTTCCTATCAGAGACTTGTTGGCAACTCGCGATGTCTGCTATATGCAGTCCGTTTATGTGTTTGTTCAAATGTCTAGTATAAGAATTTAATTCCTTTGTCTTTTGTCTCTCTTTATTAGTTTTTGTTTGTCTTGTCCCCCCGTCTCGATGAGTCTCATCGTCGCCCACTGGTCACCATAGCCGGTCGAACTCCAGACGAAGCTAGAACAGCACTACTATTCATACTGGCGACAACGCTCTGATGAGACAACGAAACCCTACCCCAAGCTCCTCCCCTGATCCTATCCTTCAACAATGTACCCCTCTAACCTCGAGTAAGCCGCGAGTAATCGGCCCAACTCCTACTAGACATAGAATTAAGTGAATTTTGTTACAAACAGTGAACAATGAATTATCGGCTCCGTAAAGCTAACGCGATTGAGCCTTCCAAATAAACGAAATGGATAAAAAAAAAAAAAAAAACTTTTGGCCATCACAGATGACAACGGTGAGAACATTGATATCGACGAAGAGGAAAATGCAAGCGCTCTTTGAGATTCGTACAATTTGAATCGGAACGTAATAAACATTAAAAATGAATAATGTTAGTATTGTTTATTGACAAAATCGAAAAATATTTAAAGTACATAAGCGAATCAGTCAAGGGTCGTTTGGGGGTGGTCTGGTCTTGATCCCGAATCATTTTGTTAGTCACTATAAATAACCCAGGTTGCTTGGTTATCCATTTGTATGCCAAAACAGCCAGCAAGGTTGTAATGTATTATGTGTCAGCGATATCACGTGATATAGCATCAAAACAGCAAGTGGATTCAGTTTACGTCAGCTTCCATGGAATGATCCAGTCATTCTTCCTAGCTATCCAGACCGATGCATGCTGATTGATTTCGAATCTCGCTCAGCAAGGCGTATCAAATTGCAACGACTGTTTATCGTCGACTGAATTACCGGCATTGTGGACTGTCCCGAACTTCTGGAACGGATTCCATGGAACATTCCTCCTCGCAGATTTAGTAACTCCCCGTTACTGTCAATTCCATTCCACAGAACAAGTAAGTTCTATTAACAACCAAGAAATCTTCATCGTTGCAAATATAAAGAAATTAAACATAACCCTTTGCTTCAGTACCGTCAACTTCCATGTCCATGGGGAGGGCGCCAATGCGAAAATTTGTGGCTTACTCCAATTTGTCTGCCTGCTTCAAAATTAAATTTGGTACAAGTTTGAAGTGTAATTTAAGGTCATTTAGGATGCTCAGCTCGAATATGGTGAAAAGCGAAAATTGACCATGGTGGCGTTTACGATACTTTGTCATCTCACGACAGCATACACTTAAATGAATACACTATGTATGATGTGAAGGGATTTCAATTCCGCACGATAAACAGGATGGGAATTTCTTTCAGTTTGCAAAAGAAAAGAAAAAACTGTTTCACAAAAAGTACATGTTTCTCAACTACTTAAAATCACAGTTTATATTTAAAAACGCATTATCATCGTCACAATCTTAAGAGCATTTGCTCCACCAACGTTTGTTCGATGTCTTCAGTGTATTATTACATATTTACAGCTAACTCACTTAACAGCAACTACCCACTCACTGTTTATCTTTTTTCTCTTTGTCGTCGTCATCGATATTGACGTTGATGTTTCTAGTGAGATCGTTCTTATTGCCTCGGAAATAACTGCCAGAACCGGCCGCTTGAAGATTGCCGGCGATACTTTGCACCAGATCATTCACTGCCTTCAAGGTTTGGATCGGAATCTGAAAAACAAAGATAAACATAAATGACAGAGCAAATTCTGATTACAAGGTTAGTGTTCCACTAAAGAAGTGTAATTAAGCGTACGGTGCTGTGATTGCAGTGCTATAACTGGTATTGTATTGCTATTTTAGTCAAGCGGTTTCAGTGGAACATCTTAATTTTAACTTGTTTCAATCATCCGGATTGAGTTCGTTTGCTTGCACCCCACCATAACGGCAGTCGGGAAGACAAGACCATCAGCTGCATCCAACTTCGTCTCTAGGTACAACCGACTGTGTTTGCAAAACTACAACAAATGATGCTAGCTCTCTCAACGACAGGGTTAAATGCATGTTTATTTTTTTATATAATCGATAAATATGTTGAACAGAAATCTAATTGCTTTCCATTTGTTCTGAAATTGAGCCCACGTTTTTTAAACTACCAGCACTTAAAATCATTAAAGCTACTACCCCCTTCTACTACGGCCCCTTCAACTTGCACCATGCTGGAAACGAGTTTCAGAATATTTTGAGCGGCAAATTCAACTGATGTTAAACTTACGTTGAAGATGTTGTCCAAGATGCTGGAACGAGGAGAATTCGCTGGTTGTTCGGATCCACTTCCTTGGTTAACGATTTTCCCGTCTATTTGCTGCTGTCGAAATGAGGAAACAAGATTCGTTGCGTTAGTTTATCACAAATATTGAACCGTCAGATGGGAGAGGGATAGGCGTTATGGGGGGTAGGACTAGCTTAAAAACTGGCAGCCAAAGTATGTCTAGCTGCACGGATATAGCAACCGCGTTACCGCGATGCTATGGTTCAATGTAGGTCTGAGGTATTGTCTGAAATTGAGCATAATAGCCAAAGGGAAGGGAGCAGGAGATTAGTCAGATGGACGGGATGAACTCGATGTATATACAGATATATTTGCCATTACCGCTTCATTATCGTTGATTGCGGCCTGCGACGGGCTCGGAAGGGTGACCAGCAATGCGATGACAAAGACCGCCAAACACGTCAAACGGATGTTAATTGAGCCGGTGAAAACCTAGAAAGCACAGATGATGATCATCAGCAAATGAACGAATGGGAAGTGGTTGTATGTGCAGGAATTTGCATTTTCAAAATTTAATTCTTATTCCAGCGCGAAATAAGCAGATGTGATAAAAATTATGCACTCATTTGTTGAGCAAGCGGTGTCACCCGTGGATAAATTTATGATGAATAATAGCTGTGAGATTATTTCAACTCATCTGGCATGAACCTACCGAAATTTGATTGTTAAATATAAAACGGGGTACCTACATGTGTTTGAATTATTCAATAACCAGAGGTCGGTTTGAATTGATCAACAGGGTAAAACTGTGAATAAATGTTGCGGTGATGGTGATCAATTAAATTCTTGAAAGCATTCTATCAGGAGCCGTCCAATAGTACATTGACAACAGCTCTACTATAATTCATGCGATACCAGTAGTCTATCTATCTATATATATACATATAAATGAATTTCTGTCTGTCTGTCTGACCCTTATAGACTCGGAAACTACTGAACCGATAGGTGTGCAAATTTGTATGAAAAGGTTTTTGGGACCGGAAAAGGTTCTTATGATGGTTCGAGACCCTTCCCCCCTCTGTAAGGGGGGCTCCCATACAAATGAAACAGAAATTTCTGCATAACTCGGTATAAGGAGTGGTATATATGTGGAGGTATAAGGAGATGGTCATAGGGAGTAGCCCCTTAGATAAGAGAGAGGGGTGGACTACGTACAATATACCATGCTTTTTTTTTTTAATCGGCGCATAAACTCAAGCTAATATTGAATCTCGAGCAAGGCCGGGCACTCTCAGCTAGTATGTTTATAAATATGTATATGCACTTTTAACGTATGATTTAAACAAAAAATCTTCTTACGTTTTCTTGCAAGGGAGGTTCAGAAACATCTAAATACACTCTCCCCTCGGAGAACGCGAACTCGGTCTAAACGAATTCCATTTACGTTGGTCTCGAATGATTCCATTTACGTGAGGGAATCGCGTAAATGTAGTACACGTAGCATATGGGATTTGACCTAATAGTGACCAACATGGAATATCTCGCGATCCTGGACATATAGAAGGTTACTGTCTTGAGCAAACTGGTTCAGTACATCAAGACCTAATGGTTTGAATTTTCTCACTACGTGGCGCTAGTGTGCTTGAATTTGTGATTTCCTTGTTCATGTGATGTCTTGAAATCCTTCCCATCTAGGAAGTTGCTGTCTTCGGCAAAGTTGTTCAGTGGACTAAGACCTTCATTTTTAAAAATAAATTAGTTGATAATTCGGCAACTTCATCCTGCTGTTGTATATGTGAGATGTTCTTCGTGCTTTATAACAAGAACCTGTAATTCTAGGAAAATATAACCTAGGAAAATATAACATTATGAAATCTGCCCTTAAACATTGTTTTCTGCAGGAGACGACTTCGAGCAACACAAAAGTCCAGCATGGGAAGTAGTCAAGGAGAGTCGACTTTGTCATTCAGCAATATCACTTCTTTCATTCCTTCGTAATTTTCACCCAGCTTCTATTTTTAGTTTGCGTGTAGATAGTTGAAATTTAAATAACAATCATGTATGGTATGTTTGCAAAAATTATCAGGAAATAAAACGAAGCACAGAATCTATTTGGTGGAACTTTGTCACGTTTAGTATGTTGACTGTCATGTTTAATTTCCCGTTTAGAAAAAAATTAAATGAGAATTTGGATTTTGATCAATCAATGTTTACTTCGGTTTCTGATAGTGTACTTTTTACATTTGATGTGTACTGCCGGTGAAAGCATAATTGTCCCATGTTACAAAACACAAAAATGAGAAAACTGCAGTTAACAATTGAACAGACGTTTTGCTGCTATCGTAAAATTTCACGGAAAAATTTGGTTGTGCTTCGAAAAACGAACGTAATACAACTATTCCATAGAAAGTTTATCAAAATTTTGCATAAAAAGAAATTTTTCCATTACAAAATCTTCTGTGACACTTATGCTGCGAATTTCTCTGACGAGTTGAAAAGTGTACGCATATCTGTCCCACTGTGAACAACTTCTCAGTTGCTGCTGTTGTTATGTTTGACACTTCGTGAGTGACGGTTGGAGTTTTTTCTTTAAAATTTTTGATTTCAGTGCCAAAATTTCAAAGGGGCAGAATTACATTTGTAAACAATGGATTTAGCCGTCGATTTCTCATGGAAAAAAGCTCACTCATGAAATTTAATGACACCACAGAGACACAGGCAGAGGAATGTTTCATCTACCAGCTAGCATTGCTAATTTGGGGGGTGACCATTTACTTGCGAGATATCGGCGGCTAAAGCTAATGTTTACAAAAGCAATTACGCCCCTTTGAAATGTTGACACTGATTTGAATGTGGGGCGGAAACGTCTGCCATAGAAAATTTAAAGCAGTACCACAGGAGTGGAACTTCAAATCAGAAAGTGGCTCCACTGGTCATTTGCGAACACTAGCGCACCTAGCGGTAGAAGGCATCTTCGGCCTGTAGTTAAGATAGGCAGCATGCTATGATAGTGTGAGTGCACATAGAAAGCCTATGTGGAACGCTACCACATCACATCGCTCGTTGAGTAGAAAAACGAGCACTTTTTGATTCACCGATTTGTTTGCACTTCCCCTTCTGTTCTGTGGCAGTACGGTGGTTCCAGTGGTAGTGATAGCTTTTAGTCTTTAACGAGGCAATTGCTCCTGTTGGCGCATACGCACGATCATTTCCAGTGTCTGCATGTACACGTTGAACTTATTCAAGCCTCGCCCGTCCGTGGACATCATGAGAAAATTGTTTTTCTCAAAAAGGACGATATGAGCTAGGATACGCAAGCAACATCAACAGTGAGGACCTTACATACTGCAAACTGTTTGCCAAGAAACAACTCCAGCTGATCGCCAACGATACGTTCTCTACTGAAGCTAACGTACTCTGGTAAAGGTCTCCTCGTTGAATTGAAGTAGATAGGAAGGCCTCTCTGTTGGCAGTTGTCGTACCTGTTATTCGAGAAGACGAAACATCTTTTTTAGTCGGTCTTCCGACCAAGCAACATGCATCGGAATGATAGTTATTTAATGTTAACCGTTGTATGCATTTCTTTTCTTTAAAAAAAAAATCTCAACATTTTACTCTATAGTTTTTCAATACCAAATCATCATATGTGTCACGAAAAGGTACAAATAGGGCAAGGCGTTGTAAGTGGATTATTACATTATATAATTTATTTGTTTGCAAATAGCAACAGAACTGAGGATGTAGCTTAAATTTTCAAAAAAAAAGTGTTAATGTGCTTACGACGTTATCGAGGTGTCATCCAAATAATTCAAAGATTAATTTTACCATTTGGGTAGTCATTTGGATCTTGTAATATGTTTACGATGAATTATTTGTATAACAGACTATAACTTTTGAAGAATTTCTTATACATATTAAAAATTGGAGCAGTGGGACAGATATGTGTCCATTTTTGCAATGGGACAAAACGACTTCACATTTTTTTTTAATTTTTCTAGAATAAACAGCATGTTTTAATATAATATTTTAAAAATATCTATTGATTCATAACGTAAAGCATCATAACCTCAAAAAAGTCAAAATGTCACATGGGACAGTTATGCTTCCACCGGCAGTATATGTATATATAAAAAAATTACAAACGATTACATCTCAGTTTCTTCCTTCCATCCCAAAAGAAGGCTTTCACATTCCGTCAGCAATTCGAAAGCCTTTGTCCGGCGCTCCACTTTCGTGTCGAGAGTGACAAAGCGCTGCACCTCGGTTAGTTTTTGGTGTTGGTCCTAAAATTCTTGAGCGCTTGGTGCTGGCATCTCAAGGCTATCGTCCAAATCGCCAGGAGTTTCAAGATCTCCAAGTACTTCTTCAACCGTTGTTTCCTTTTCTGCAATCAGTTCATATATCTCAGCTTGCGTCATATCAACAACTTCCAGCGCCGGTCCCAGTGCTCGAATGTCTTGGGCGACGTCTGCATTGTCGTTGCTGGTTTCATTGACATTTCCGCTGATTTCACAAACAGGTTTTTTCCAGGCTGTCAAAGCTATATTTGATAGTGAACTTCTTCCACGATTTAATCAAATCATCCCCTGTTTCATCCATTCGGTCCACAATCGTGCGGTAGCTATGATAGATGTAACGCAACTTAAAGTTTGCGATTATCCCTTGATCCAACGGCTGTAGTATGGAAGTCGTGTTTGGAGGGAGGTAAGTCACTGCGATGTTCAGATGGATTAACTCGGGGGGTAGCAAGGCGCGTTGTCCAACACCAAAAGGACTTTGAACGAGAGGTTCTTGTCCCGATACATTTGTTCAACATCTGGAGCGAAAATGTTGTTAAACCAGACCGAGAAAAGGGATGAGATCATTCATCCCTTTTTGTTAGCTCGGTAATGTATCGGTAGCTGATCTCTGCTGATGTTCTTGAGCGCTCTTGGGTTCGCTGCTTGACCAATGACGTTTGACCATATGGGAACCCGATGCGTTGGAACAGAAAAGTACAGTGTACCCTTTTTTATCTGCCTTGATCCCTCGAACACTTTAAAGATGTTCAACGACGTAAGATCGCTGAGAAATTTTCCGAAAAAAAAAGGTTTGGTCTCGTCGCAATTATAAATTTGCTCTCGAGTGTATCCGCCTTGTTCGATTATTTCTGAAAATGTTCGTGGAAATATGGCAGCTGATACGACATCAGCCGATGCCTTCTCGCCGCGCATACGTACATTGTGCAACTTGTTTTGATGTTTATAGCGGTCAAACCACCCTTTGCTGGCTGAGAAATGTTTAGCATCTTCTCCGGTCGTGCGCTTGATTCAGCATAATTTGCGTGAAAAGCCAATGCTTTCTCTTAAATGGCAAGAAAGTCAACAGCCTTTTTTTTGCAATACATATCTTCTATCCACACCGTCAATGCAATTTCCATTTTCATCATTATCGGATTACTGATCTTTCACGTTGGGCGCTAAGCCCGCCATTTTCTTGATTTTATCCTTCCA